TTAATTTGTTGATTATAAAAACAAAATCTTGAGCCAGACATGATGGTATAGATAATGTTAATTCCAGCACTTGGGAGGCTGAAGTAGGAGGATTGTGAGTTCGGTGCCAGCCTGGGCTGCAGAGTAAAATCCTGGAGAAGACAGACACAAATGGTTTCAGAGTTCTTCAGTAATAAGATGTTCAGAGGTTCTAGAAACTTCATGGAGGAAAGCTGTTCTCAGTGCACTTCCGACCAGAGTTAGCACACTGCCTGTCGGACGGGGAGAAGCAGCAGAAGGACGTGACCTAGGAGGGGCAGAGGGTGCCAGGCGTGGGAGCGGGGGCTGCTCAGCTCTGGGAAGGCTGCCCAGGGTGACTTCTGAGGAGTGAAGACCGACTTCTCGCCATTGCTGACTGAGGTGTTATGCACAGATCCCCTCCAACGCAGACACCCATCCTTCACAAAACCCTCAAAAACTCAGTAACTGTCCTAAATATTCCAGATTTTTCTTTATGGCTTTCTGGACCCATGATTTCCCACTGATGTGTCTGGGATACAACGTGGGTGTTGGGTGCTGTGAGCTGGGGCACCCGTGGTTAATGCTCCTGGAGATATTATGAGGGGACCTTGATTCCATGGGATTGACTGGTGGGGAGGCCCACAGGCTGTGGTGCCTATTCGACTGTTCTGTCTCCCATGGGTCTACGGATTTGATCGCTTTTCCCTGACCATTGCATTCTACAGCAGGTCCTGCCCAAAGATGAAGGAGTGAGAAGGAACCCCCACCACAGGAAATGATTACATAGGCCAGACATTAAAACCAAGGGCCTCCAGGACCAGACCTGGGCCTTGCTGTATTGTATTTGGCCCATCTGATGTTTTCAGAACCCATGAACAGTAAGGCTTTCCGGCTTCTTTTGATCACTCCTGAGGCCTGGGCCCACCTCCTTCCTGTGGGGCACACCCTGTTCCTGGTCCCTGCTGGCCCCCAAGATCACAGGGGCTGGGCCCTGATTCCACGTGTGAGGTGAGGGACCAAGGCTCCAGTGGGAACAGAGGCTGGGCTCTTGTATGGCTACGTCCTGACTCCTTATTTACACACGGCAGAGGGGAGCCTCAGGATTTTAGAGGTCCTCAGGGTCCCATCAGTGCTGCTCGGAATGGGGGACATGGCTCCAAGCGGCCTGAAGAGGCTAACGTGAGGGCCTGTGATGAAACACCCCAGAGCCCCCGAAGCAGGCGGAGTGGAAGAGAGGTACTGGGGGATGGACACTGATTTTCCCATCACTGTTTTCTTTTGCAGCTCCTGGGGACCTATGTCCTTACCCACACTAGACGGGCGCCGCACCACCGGCTGCATTCCAGCCCTTTTTACTGTCTTAGCTTTTGGAGACAAGGGTTCACCGAGTGGCCCAGCTGGACTTGAGCTTCTGCTCCCCTGCCTCAGCCGGGGTAGGCAGGCTACACTTAACTTCCACTCTTAAAATTTAGGAGGGTGGGTAAGCCTAGGGATGCTACCAAGAGGCCCACGTCTCCTTATCCTCAAGGCTGAAGAGGAAGGAAACTCCCATGGCTACTTGGACTTTCGAAAGGATGGCCAGTTACCCACCACTGTTGAAATAAGCCAGCTAGAGACACCCAGTCTTTGAGGTCCCTGGGTCATGAGGGTCCCCCGGGATATATCCTGATGGACATTCTTGAGTTTTTCATCCCTCAGAGGAGACCCAGGTCCTGATCACTGTTGGGCAATTAGGCTCAGTGGGAGCCCCCAAGGAACTCAACCTCTCCCCAACTTCAAGGGCAGCTGGAGGGTTCGGTGAGTTTCCATGGCGATTCAAGGCAATTCCTTAGGACCTGATTCCCTGGGACCCCACCTTTCATCTGCGGCCTGATATGGAGAGGGCATACTCTACAGCCTGGTTTCCAGGGATCTGCAAAGAGTCCCCCCACCTCCTGTGCTCCCACACAGAATGGATGTACACATCCATTACCTGGAGCCTGCACCCCTGGCCCACCGCCATCCCTGTGTCCTTCCTCCGCCCTTGGGGTTCTTCAGATCACACTGGCAAAGATGGCACATCCAAGTCATTCAACACACACAACCAAATGCTCTTTCCTTTGGACCCTGTAAAACTATCAGAAATCTCCCACACTTAAAAAAAAAGCCGGGTGGCGGTGGTGGCGCACACCTTTAATCCCAGCACTCAGGAAGCAGAGGCAGGTAGATCTCTCTGTGAATTCGAGGCCAGCCTGGGCTACAGAGTGAGCTCCAGGACAGGTTCCAAAAGCTACACAGAGAAACGCTGTCTTGAAAGACCAAAAAAAACCAACCAACCAAACAAACAAACAAAAAAAACAAAAACAAAAAAACAAAACAAAAAAACAAAAAACCCCAAGACAGGGGCTCATGTAGCCAGGCTGGCCTCCAGCTTGCTACACAGCTGAGACTGGGTCTGGCTCCTAACCCACTTCCCCAGTGCTAGGATTACGGGTGTGCACCACCAAGCCCAGCACTCTCAGTCTTCCTAAGTCTCCTTCTCACTGCCAACATGTCACTTCTAGAAGGTAATTTAGGGCAGGAACAGGATCAGGGCTGTTCTGCTTACCACTGTATTCCCAGTGCTTCTAACAGCACCTGGGACACAGCAGATCCTTGACAGTCAGTGGCTGTGGATGTAATTCAGTGGTGGAGCCCCTGCCTAGAATCCCCCAGTGAGGGGCTGGGGTGTGGCTCAGTGGTGGAGCCCCTGCCTAGAACCCCCCAGTGAGGGACTGGGGTGTGGCTCAGTGGTAGAGCCCCTACCTAGAATGAATGAATGAATGAACGAATGACTGGACACTAGGCCTACAGTGGTGGAGTTAGGATGCAGCTGTTATCAACTGAGTAACTCCCAGCAAGTCACTTGTCTCTAGGGCCTCTGAAAATACGACATGATAGAATGGAGTGACTCAGTTGCTGTGTGGTCTGAGTCAATCCACTCCAAGTTGAATCAGGCCTTGGGTCTCACTACATGTAGCACAAGCTGGTCTTGACCTTAAGATTCTCTAGCCTCAGCCTCTCAAGCTAGGATTATAGGCGTGAGCCACCCACCACAGCTGGCTGCAGTATATGTCTTATTGCTGGCATTTTTAGTATTAATTATAAAACAAATCCCCACTTTGACATCCACTAGGTTGTTTGTTTTAAATCTGCAAGTTTCTGGCATTGTATGTGGGGTATGTCTCCCTTGCAACACTGTGAGCTCCACAGGAGAGTGATTTGATGGTTTTATTTCTGTGTTCTCAGAGCCAGGAACAAACCTGGTATATGGATGGAGGGGCTGTATTGTGGGGCAAGGGATGAAAGGATAGACGGATAACAGGTGATATGTGGCTGGATGGATGTGTGGGGAGGTGAGTGAATGGATAGGTGGAGGGACTGGTGGAAGGATGGGTGAGTGGGTGGACAGGTGGATGGACAGTGGGTAGATGGAAGGATCCCTCCCTTCATTAGTCCACTGAGACGCTCGAACACTCTCCCCACCACCCACGGAGCCTCCTCCCGCCTTGCCCCACATACTTCCTGTGATGGTGATCCTCCTGCCCTGGTAGTAGTCTCCTAGGGTCACGGCATTGCCCTGCTTGGTGGCCACCACCCTAACGGTGCGTACACTGTCCTGGCACTCCACATAGGGGTTGTAACCAGGGTTGCCAGCTACCAGCTGGGCATTTATCTGGTTCTCCACGCTGGCAGGAGAGAAGGCATCGGCCACGCGGTCTCGGCAGAATGACTTGTACTTCCAGATCACGATGGGGGATGAGATCGAGTTGCTCATCTGATAGGTGCAGGGCAGTGTCACTGGCTGGAACAGGATCACTACGTGGTAGGGGTCAGACACAGTCACCTGGATGGTGCTGGCAGGAGCTGGGAGAAAGAGGAGGGTCAGCCCAGTGGGTACCGCAACAGCACGGAGCCACACTACCTGACAGTGTGTGCGGTTTTTTGGTTTTTGTTTTCATAGCACTTGGCATACTGGTCCTTAATCCCTTAGACTGGTGAGACAGATTGGATATGCCCATTTTATACACCCTTGGGGCTGAAAAGTGATAAATATGTAGCTCCACGGGCCAGGTCCCTGGGATACTCTGTCTACCTCTCCCTACTTAGAGACTCCTCAAAATGCACACCCAAACGGAGATGGAACCCTTCGGCCCCCACCAGAGCCAACATTTGCGTAGGTGAGCGCTGGCCAGCGGAGGGTGGTTAGAGGTTCAAAAGTCCACCCCACAGATACCCGGGAGGTGGGTGGGGTGGGGAGTCCCCAATTCCACACCCACTCCAAGCCAAGGTACTGTTTCTACAGCTCTTCTTTCAGGAAACGTCTGATCTAGCCCTGAGTGCCCTCTCCCCGTTACCCCAACACTTAGAAATCTTGGGGTGTGCCCAAGATCCCAGTGCCTGGCCTTTTCCGTGATCGGGGGGCCCTTGCTTCTGTCCCACAAAGGGTCCCCTTCTGCGTACAATTCTCAGGCTTAGGATCCCCAGAGTTTCACTTCCTGTTATCTCCAACAAAGGCGGAGGAGCGGGCTGGACGCGCCAAGAGGAAATCCCCTACTTGTGGCCTACAGGGGTCTTCCCAGCAAGGCGGGATCTGGTGGTCTTGAATCTACGCCCCCGAACTAGCCATCACCCCCCACACACACCCCTTGGTTCCGACTCCTCCAGGACGGTAAAAGCCGCAGCCCTCTCCATCCACCTCCTGTAGTGCCCTCCTGCCGTCCCACAGCATCGGGGACCCCATTCCTTACCTGGATAGTAAGTGATGAGAAAGAGCCACAGGAAGAGCATAGCGGCCGGCCGGGAGCCAGGCACCCCAGAACGCGCGCTGGGCGCCGGCGCCATCGCGGCCGTCTAGCAGCGACGGAGCCCGCGCGTCCCCTCCCAAGTATCCCGAGAGTAGGGGGCGCGGGGAGCACCAAGGCCGAGAAGGGTGCTTGCTCCACCCGGCCCCTAATCCAAGTCCATTTTCCTCACACAGAAGGAGTTCTAACCTACAAAAAAAACTTGGACTAAACTCATGCCTTTGGGTTTCCCAGGACAACTGACCCCGGCGCGCGGTGGCTCTCCGGGTCACTCCACCCCCTGTTCATTCCCAGGAATGGATCCGCCCAGGTACACAAGGGTGGGAGCCTTGGGGCAGGGCTTGGGGGTGGGCGGCGGAGGAGGGGCTTGCGGGCCTCCCTCCCCGGAAGTGGGCTGACTCAGGTGCGCTCCTGCCCCCAGGGCCTGAACCAAGTGACCGCTTAGCCAGGAGGGCTCCCGCACCCCAGGAGACCTGTGCGGCCACCTGCTGCTCCGGCCAAAGTTGATAGGACCGCGCTCCCTGAAAACAGAGACCCTCTGGGGTATTCCACCTGCCGAGAGGGGCCGGCCCTGCCGCGCACCTGTTCGCCGCCGGTCCACACCCCTGTCCCCGGCGCCGATGGACCCGCCTAGGTGCGCCCTGCGGGGAGGTGCCAGGCCCAGCTAGGTCCCGGCTGGCAGAGGCGTGTCGCTGACGCCGCCTGCCTTCCCACTCTCGTCCCGGTGGAGGAGGTGTCGCGGGGCTTTCTGGGCTCCCAAGTTGGATGACTCAAGGAATCAATGAGGTCCCCCTAGGAGGAATGCTCTGGCCCCGCAGGCGATGCTCATGGGGACAAAACCTTTGAAAAAGTTGCGGTCGTACTTTGGCAGTTTCCATACTTCCTCCTTTCCTTAACTTGTTTCTTTTCCCCCTCGGACATCCCTCACTCTAGGTCAGGCTTCCGGAAGTTCTGATACTTAAAGGCGCTGAGCCGAGACTGGAGACGGGGAGACCTGTTTCGGTTCAAAGGTTCCCAGGCCGTCACCTGCACCCGGGGCGCGGCCAGAGGCTCTCGCCCTTCTCAGCGTTACTCTGCTACCTCCTGGTGGCGCCGAGGAGAAACGCATCCTAGGAAATTGTGAACTGGCCATTGCCTGGTGGGTTGGGAACCCTATCATTTTATTGTGTGTGTTGTAAAACTTGTGTCAGGTCACATGCTTCCTCTCAGAAATCTCCCATAGTTCCTCCTTACTCCCAAGCAAAATTCAAATACTCATACTGGCCTGATTGTCCCTCCCCAACGTCACTTTGCGCCCTTCGCTTAGTTGACGTCAACCACACTGGCCTGGTTGGTCCTGAATCAGACTTTCACACATGTCTGGTTTCGCTACCAGAATTCCCTTCCTGCTGCGGACGCCTCATCCCATTTTCCTTAGGGCCTCATTCAAAGGCAAAGGCTTCTCATAAAATTTCACCCTGCTCATGAGCCATCATGCTTTTTTTTTTTTTTTTTTTGGTTTTTCGAGACAGGGTTTCTCTGTGTAGCTTTGCGCCTTTCCTGGAACTCACTTGGTAGACCAGGCTGGCCTCGAACTCACAGAGATCCGCCTGGCTCTGCCTCCCGAGTGCTGGGATTAAAGGCGTGCGCCACCACCGCCCGGCACCATCATGCTTTTTTAAAAATAGAGGAAATCGCCATAGCCATCATTTTTAAACCAGCAGTATGCGTTACTGTATGTTTTGTACACATCACTGTTATCAATGTTATCGATATTTAAGACTTGGTCATCCTTCATCTTCAACATAGGAAAGAAAGAATCTGTCTTAGATCAGAACCCACTCTAACCTCCCCGTTTTCACTCAATAGTTTACACCGTCGAAGTCTGAGAGCAGGTTTCAGCTTAGCTCCCAGAGCAGGCTTGCCCTCCACTTCTCTCTCCCACTTTTTCCTCTTTGAATCATTTACTGTCATCTGATATTTTACAAGTCATATTTTCACCACTAATCTTGTCCCGTCCTAAAGCCAACATTGCTTAGTAACCATTCCACCCCACATTTCCCGGCCCTTCTGTAGTTCCGTGGGGCTACATGGCCAGTTGTAGTTAGTAGCATATAAGCAATGCATATAAACACTAAAGTTTTCAACACCATCAATATTAGCACCACCATCTGGGACCCAAACGTGGGAACTGTAGGGGGTGTTTGGATTCAAAGCACACCACTGTCTTCATGTACTGGACATGTAATGGTGAATAACTTGCCTTTTGAGTTCACTCTATCACTTCCTGAGGATAACTTACACACACATATTTCATTCAGTTTTTATTTTATATTCGTGTGTCTGCCTGGATGTATGTCTGTGTCCACAGGAGCCAGAAGAGGGCGTCAGATACTCTGTGATTGGAATCACAGACAGGTGTGGGCTGCCATGTGTGTGCTGGGAATCAATCCCAGGTCCTCTGGAAGAGCAGTTGGTGCTCTTTAACTGTTGAGTTGTATAAATCTGATGTGTATTTCTGAAAACTTGCTGGACTGTGGTTCACGGGGCTAAACGTTCTATGGGTGATGTCACAGTACCCAAGAAGGTTCTAAAGTTCCTTCTGAGCTCTTACTCAGCCATGCTGGCCACTCTGTGGCTGGTTAGTCTTTCTCTTCCCATGCTGTGGGCCCAGAAACTAATCAACTGTCCCTACAAGAATGTGTGCCAGTACGCCCTGCTCTCGGGCAATGACGTGATCCTGGAGTGTAACCACCACAAAGCAGTATGGTATTTCCATTCATCTCTGGAGGACAAACTGTCCAAGCTCAACTCCATGCCTAATGTGAAGATACTGCCTGGGAGCAATCTGCAGTTATCCAACCCTCAGCCCTCCCAGACAGGGCTCTACCGCTGCCTAGATGGTCACATGACCCGTGTGGTGGAATATGAGATTGACTTTCAGGATATAGCTCTGCTGCATATCACACACAAAGACCTGGGCCAAAAGCCCATGGGAAACGAGACCATGAACCTAGGAGGCGAGGTACTCGTTTTTACCCGCTGGGATCCTTGGCAAGATTGTAACTGTTGCGAAAAGCCTGGTGAGCGCAAACGTCTAGGCTACTGCTATGTGGAGGAGTCCCTAGGAAAATCCATGCCCTGCTGGCTCTACTTGAGAGGGGAGAAGGTGACCCACAGCCGCCTGCAGCCTGAACTCCAGCTACAAGCCTGCCATGTGCCCTGTGACATCGCCACAGAAATCAACCAGCCGTACTTCGTCTTTGACACTCATCAGCTGGACAAAAACACCAACTATGAGTGGCTCAGCTGTCCTTTGGCTTCCATCTACAGGTAACCAGACAGGGCCAACAGCCCTTCTCTTGGGCCTCCATCGGTGCTGGTCTCTGGGGGCTTACTGCTGCTAGAGGTCTCCATCCAGTAGACAAACTCTTCCTCCACACCCAGAAGCCTTCATGGTCAGTGGGAGCCTAGAGTCACTGGTTTGCTTAGATATTTCCACACCAGAAATCTCCTCTGAACTGGGATCTGGGCAAGAGAGGCGGAGGAAGGTGCTGACTGAGCAAAGACCTATTCCCTGCCCACACAGGCAACCTGGAGCCGCAGACTCAGGCCCAGGCTCATCTGAGTAAACATGGATGTGGTCCTGTCTGCTGAATGGACCCTGATGAATATGGTTTGCCCCTCTCTCCTTGTACCAATGCCATGTGTTTTAGACATTTCTCTTTCTATTTCTTTTTTTGAGACAAGGTCTCACTGTATAGCCTGAACTTGCTTGTTTCTGGCTAGCCTGGAACTTGCTATAGACTCCGGCTGGCTTTAAACTCACAAGAGATCTCCCTGGCTCTGCCTCCTGAGTATAGGCATGAAAAGCATGCAGCACTGTGCCTGGAACACATTTGTTTCTTCCTCTGTCAATATTTTATGTAAGTAGGCGAAGGGTCATGATATGACGTAATAATTATCAGACAAACGGGCTGGAGAGGTGGCTCAGCAGTTAAGAGCACTGACTGTTCTTCCAGAGGTCCTGAGTTCAATTCCCAGCAATCACATGGTGGCTCATAACCATCTATAATGAGATCTGGTGCCCTCTTCTGGCCTATAAGCATGTGCAGATAGAACACTGTATACATAATAAATAAATCTTTAAAAAAAATAATTATCAGACAAAGAAATATCAACAGCTGTAGATTGCATGCAAAAACTATTGGTAAAAACATAGATTTAGCTGGGCGGTGGTGGCACACGCCTGTAATCCCAGCATTCGGGAGGCAGAGGCAGGTGGATCTCTGTGAGTTCGAGGCCAGCCTGGTCTACAGAGCTAGTCCAGGACAGGCTCCAAAGCTACAGAGAAACCCTGCCTCGAAAAACAAAAACAAAAACAAAAACAAAAAACAAACAAACAAACAAAACAAAACAAAACAAAAAAAACCTAAAAAAAAAAAACCCTAAAAAAAAAACAAACAAAAAAAAAACATAGATTTATCAGGACAGCCAGAGCTATGTAGTGAGACCCTAGCTCAAAAAAGTAAGCAAGTAAATAAAAGCCAAAAACAAACAAGCAAAACAAAACAAACAAATAACCAAAATTATAGACTTAGAAAACTTTCTGGAAGACAGCTTATCGGATGTTCCCTTGTGTCTGTCCTTGGTTATTACAGCTGAGGAGGATAGTGTGGTTCCTTTTAATTGCTTTTTTAAAAAATCCTTAAGACTCACATAGTTACTTTTTTATGTAAGATTTATTTTTATTTTATGTGTATGAGTGTTTTATGTGCATGTATTTATGTGCACTCCATGTGTGTAGTGCTCACAGAGGCCAGTGGATTGCCTGGAACTGGAGATACAGAGGTGGTGGCCCTTCATGTGGGGCCTGTGAATCGAACTTGGGTCCTCTGGAAGAGCAGCTAATGTTTTTAATGGCTTAGCTACTTCTCTATCCCTTAAATCAGTGGTTCTCAACCTTCCTAATGCTGCGACCCTTTAATACAATTCCTCATGTTGTGGTGACCCCAATCATAAAATTATTTTTGTTGCTACTTCATAACTGTAATTTTGCTACTGAGTGGTGTCTCAGTTCCTAAGACCATTGGAAATATGTGTTTTCCTATGGTAGTGACCCACAGGTTGAGAACCATGCCCTAAATGGTTCTTCTAAAATGAAAATGTTGACTTCAGGCATGTGAAGGTCTTTGGAAGGTCCCTCTCCACTTGGCTTCCTGGGTCAGGTCTGTCGTTAATCTTGGTCTTTCCCAGTGGGTACTTATTTTGTGGCTTGCATTTTTTCCTCCTTTTCATTCTGTCAGACTGGTGGTTTAAAATGAGAAATCTGAGGGGGTGCTGGAGAGATGGATCAGAGGTTAAGAGCACTGATTGACTGCTCTTCTAGAGGACCTCAGTTCAATTCCCAGCAACCACATGGTGGCTCACAACCATCTTTAATGAGATCTGGTGCCCTCTTCTGGCCTGCAGGTGTACATGCAGGCAGAACACCGTATACATAATAAACAAACAAATAAATAAATAAATAAATAAATAAATAAATCTTAAAAAAAAAACCACTTGATGGCCAGTTGGGGGCACCATTTGGACAAGTTCCAGGGAGGAGCAGCCTTGCTGGAGGAAGTCCATCATTGGACTGCTTTGGAATGGGGTTGAAAATCTGATCTCTCAGCTTCCTGCTCCCACCGGCTTGCCCGCTGCTTGCTGTTAAGCCTCCCCTCCATGGTAGTCAGCCCTCTAGGACCCTCAGCCCAAATGCACTCTTCATTCTGTAAGTTGACTTGGTCACAGTGTTTCATCACGGCAACATAAAAGTACCTGACACAGCTTGATTCTGGGGGCCAGGTCCACATTCGCTGTTGTGTTCCAGAGGGAGACAGTTGATTGTGGAAGATGTGGCAGCAGGCAGGGAAGGCATGGTAGCAGGAGCAGGAGGCTGGCTGGTCACACTGCATAGTGAGCGGGGACAGTCCATCACGGAAGTGCAGATATGGTGTGGTTGGCTCCGTGGGGGCTGGATCTCCTCACCTCAGATCCTGGGACGAGAAGCAGAGAGCAGCTGGTTGTAACATATTGGAAGCACTTGTTGTGTCCTGGGCGTGTGTGTGTGTGTGTGTGTGTGTGTGTGTGTGTGTGTATACATAAATTTTATATTACTGAGTTAACTTCTTTAGTTGCAAATTTAAAACTGTTGCTTTTTTCTTGTAATAGTGTTGTTGAATTTTTTTTCCACAAATTTACCCATCAAAGCATCAAGAAGTTTTGGCTTTAGCCTCTTCCGGTGATTTGAATGAGAATGACCCCTATAGGCTCATAGATTTGAATGTTAGTTCACCAGGGAGTGGCACTATTTGAAAGGAGTGGGAAGTGTGGCCTTGTTGGAGGAAGTGTGTCACTGGGGGGGCGGGCTGACTCTGAGGTTCTCAAAAGCCCAAGCCAAGCCCAGAGTCTGTCTCTCTTCCTGCTGCCTGTGGATGCAGATGTAGGACTCTCAGCTTCTTCTCCAGCACCATGCCTGCCTGCTGCCACACTCCCTGCCATGATGACAATGCACTGAACCTCTGAACTGTGAGCCAGCCCCAGTGAAATGCCTTCCTTTCTAACAATTGCCGTGGTCATGGCGTCTCTTCACAGCATAAAACACTGACTGAGACACCTGTGTACAGCTGTAGTATGTTTTCACTTTTTTTTTTTTTTTTTTTTTTTTTTTTTGCTAGCCCACTTTATGCTTTGAGCATTCTAGAACACTCTACCACCAAGCTATATCATTCCCAGCTCTTGGTCTTTTGAGGCAGGGTTTCATTGGCCCAGACTTGCCTTGAAGTCAGTGTCTTCCTACTTCT